ATCACATTTCAATGAATCTAGAATTATGCAGAGACCCAATTAGTTTTTGGTAAATATTTGTGCATATTAATTACCTAATTTGCATAATTAACCAATTTCCAACTTTCACACTGATATCTCAGGTACTAATCATCACATATCAATGAATGTTTATACATGGATGCTGTAGGACAATAGACAGACCTGGATAATTGTGGGTTAAAATCTGTACATATTAGTTACCCAATTTGCATAATTAACCAATTTTAAGCTTTCACACTGATATCTAAAGTACTAATTTCCATTTTAATGAAACTTAGTACAAAGATGCTCTAGGACAATGTACAAACCTAATTAGTTTGGGGTAAAACTCTGTTCATATTATTTCCCTAATTAGCATAATAATTCATAATTTTTTGGTTCTAATCACATTTCAATTAAACTTGGTACATAGAGTTTTTGTTACATTGCGCAGACCTCATTAGTTTTACAATCAAATCTGTTCATGTTAATTTTCTGATTTGCATAATTAGTTTTCAGCTAAGTTATTTCAAATTATATTTAATGTGTCTCCAATACTCTCAGCACATGGGAGTTCTTTCTAAGCTTTCTTTGATTATGTTTTATGTTTATGTGTGCAAAAGGTTGACATCGACGTGAGGTATATCCTACGTCTTGTCGGTTTACGTTGCAGGTTCGGTCAACTGTTACTGACACCGTGACGCAAACTAATAACTCCACGTTGCGTGTACGGTGTATTCGTATTTATTAACTAATATCTTGTACGTTGCGTGTATTTGTATAAATGCTCTGAATTATAGGTATCAGATGTAACTTGCATTTCAATTTCTCGTGAGCATTCCACCATTCGCTACTTCTCACTTACATTTTATTGTCAAATGTGTGTTTTACTGATCTTGCCGAATTATTAGATTATGTTCACGCGTCGGCTGTCAACCATGGTATTGAATAAAACTAGTCGTTGCTTGTTGTTAATATTAACAGTTTATTTTTTCATGTGATAAATATTCGGATGTAACTTTGTCTGTAACTTTCATATTTTATTTTCGCGTTCGAATATGTCCGAGAAAGTTGGCTTGATTTGTTTAATATGACATTTTATTTATCTTATAAATATATACAACTTCCGTGGACGTTCCGTGCATGGAAGATGGTAGGTGGAAAAATAGGAACAGTTTTAATTCAGATTTAACTTTTTTTTCAAGTCTCATAGTTTATTTTTCCTTTCCGTTACTAGAAACCGTGGTATAACCCAACGTCGGCAAAAACAAAATGGCGAAACGAAAAATTACGCATGCCAGTGCATGACGAGCACATGAACAGTTTGTTGATCGGATCTTGTTGTGCTTATTTGGCGAGTTAGTAGTGGGATAACCTTAAATCTGACGAATCGACTTGTGGGACGAATTAACTTGCGAGGCGAGACGAATCGACCCTCCCCGGACGTGTGATCGTGCGTGCCAGTGATAAGCTTTTTAAAGCGATTATTTGGTGGCACATCAACCTTTTAGTTCTCATCGTCGAGAACTAATAATCGAATAACACCCATTCTACTTATGTATTCATTTTCATTATTGATGTACTGGATGAAGTCTTCATAGGACATTTGTTGCAGGCAGCTTTCAGTTATATACATCGGCGTGATACGGATATTTCCACAGTAGGAATAATGCACTTTGATGAATAATTCTGTCATGATCAGTCGGTCAGCTGGTTCTGTAAAATAACGTTCTTTGCAGTGCTACCACTTTATGCTCCCCTCTCATTGAAATAACATATGACGCAAATTGAAGTAGGAAACTAAGTTGAGAGCCTCGATCGTTTATTGGAGGAGAAATTCAAAACTAATGTACCGCCTCTTTCATGGGCGGAGCTTTCTTCCGGTGCGCTGTCTGCATTATTTGTAACAACTTCTGTAATTGTGAAAACAAAGTATGTAACCTATTGTAGTAAGTTATCAACATCTAGCACTACTTCAGCGTCAAATCAGTGCCTGGAATTGCTGAACAGAAATTGTTTTTTCGCGTATGTGGTGTTTTTATATGTGTACCGTGGTACTGTCATGAATTTGTTTTTGCGTATCTGTTAACCGACTTAATTAACTGATTATTAGCGAATTGCTGTGTTATGTCTGTCATCGTGTAGGCCTATTTGAAGTTTTGGACGGAACTTGGCTCAGTGATTTGGAACTAATTACCAGATAGCCGCCGCTTTTTAGACTACTCATTCTGACAGTTGGTATCCGTAGTTATTAATGTAGTGAACGATTAATCAAAAGATATGACGTATTCAGTACTTAGTGTGATTGGCTTTATGATTGAAGGTTACGCCCTAGAGTCTTTTTACTGCTTTGTAATTGGTTAGAGTTGTGAAAATGAATAAAGAGAGTTTGAGTTGGTCTTGACGAACACAGCACGATAGACGCAGTAGAGAGAGAGTGCAGTCCTGGGCAGTCGAGAGTCCGAGAGAGTCCAGGGGCGAGCCTTGAGGCAGTCCAGTCTTGGGCGAGTCTTGGTTCAGTCTTTTGATAGCCTTGGGGATTTTTTCCCCAGGGCGCTGTGTATTATAGAGTGCTCCACAGATCGACTAAGACGAGAGCTGAAACGTATTTCGTTGTGTGTCAGTGTGTCTTATTTGACTGTAAAGTTAAAGTGACTTTCCCGATCCCGTACCTCAAGGGGACGAGATAGAGAGACGAGACGAGATTCCCCCCTGACAGTGTAGAGAACCCGAGAGAAGAGATTACCCCGTGATAGTACACTTGTTTGCGAAATCAGTATAGATTGCAACAATGCTGGGATAGCGATTCGAGACTATATATATATATATAATAATTTGGAAGCAACACTGGTTGGGTGACTAGTTTCTTTAAACTTTTCATATGAATTGTGCACCCGGGATTATTCATTTGTTATGACAAGTCACGTGATACATACGGTTAACAATCTATCATGGTCTATTCTGACATTTATATCAATTGTTTATTAAATTTTCCGGAAAGACGTTCGTTTCACCGGACAATGTCACAGGCGGCTTCAGCACGGAAACGACAAATCGCAAGGCCAAATCGAGTGACCTGGAATGTCAACAATACGGAGTAAATCAACAAGTGGTTGCTTACTGTTCTTAGGTCACGGCGCGCTATCCTGTGTAATTACTTTCATATTATGGGGGTCGGGTAGGGTGGGGATTCTAAGTTTATGAACTCCTAGTGACTGCTCGTCAAACGTCTGATTGTTTGGTGTAATCATACTTCCCACCGGGGTGTGTGCTTCGTCGTACAATTGTTGGCCAATCGTTGGAGTGGATGACGATTTTTAATTATCAACACTGCCTACGCGCATAACATAAGTACTAACAGACACACCATAATTATGACATCCACAGTGTCAATTTTGGTCGCATCACAACAAACTTAGAAACAAAACACACATAAACTATACAATAATTGAATGTACTTAAAAACGAAATCGTGAAGAGGTTGCCAATCCATCGTCCAAACGCACGGATTTGAATCCACTCAGCAAATCGTCTCCACAAAAAGTGAAATTTAACTTTTTCTTTGAATAAACATACGACCCTATACAAATATATATGCCATACCACATGCCGTGTTTCAGGGGTAGTCTTACCTCAAAGATATGTTGCCGTTAGCATAATAAGCCATTACATTGGACATACTCCCACCAGGAGCGCTGCATTGGATCACGAGAGCGACAGCGTAAACCGGCGGGAAGTCAGCTGCATGGGCAACACCAAACGCAACCGCTGGCATGATGATAAACTGTGAAGCCCAGCAAATGAAAATACCCCATGGTCTCTGGAAACTCCTCTTGATTTCTTTAAGATCTGTCGCTCCCCCCATCCCAAACATCACAATCAGTACTACTGCATAGTTCAGATACTGGTCGATGATCATCAGCGTTTCGATGTGCTCGGGCAGCTCAGCCGGCCCTGTTTCGTTACTTACGTTCAAAGTCACTGGTTCCGTGGTTGTAGCCATTTTAACAGAAGTTTTAAATGTGTACCGTGGTACACTTGTTTGCGAAATCAGTATAGATTGCAACAATGCTGGGATAGCGATTCGAGATTATATATATATATATATTACGACCATAAATCACTATAATATATTGTTATTTATTATTTTATTCGACTTGACGAATAATAATTTGGAAGTAACACTGGTTGGGTGACTAGTTTCTTTAAACTTTTCATATGAATTGTGCACCCGGGATTATTCATTTGTTATGACAAGTCACATGATCTCGATGACCAATGATACATACGGTTAACAATCTATCATGGTCTATTCTGACATTTAAACGTTCGTTACACCGGACAATGTCACAGGCGGCTTCAGCACGGAAGCGACAAATCGCAAGGCCAAATCGAGTGACCTGGAATGTCAACAATACGTAGTAAATCAACAAGTGGTTGCTTACTGTTCGTAGGTCACGGCGCGCTATCCTGTGTAATTACTTTCATATTATGGGGGTCGGGTGGGGTGGGGATTCTAAGTTTATGAACTCCTAGTGACTGCTCGTCAAACGTCTGATTGTTTGGTGTAATCATACTTCCCACCGGGGTGTGTGCTTCGTCGTACAATTGTTGGAGTGGATGACGATTTTTAATTATTAACACTGCTTATGCGCACAGCACAAGTACTAACAGACATACCATAATTATGACATGTTTACTTTTCTTTAAATTGTTGTATTTTTTGTGTATTATATTGTATTATTTGTTATATAGTTGAATTTATTGACCCCAATTATGCTCGTTTTGTCTAATAATTATGTCACATTGGACCAGATTGACGTCACTCACAAATAGTTTCTAAGCAAAGTCACGCGATCACAAGGACAATGATTATTGTTTTATATTTCGTATTTTATAGATATGTCGCCATTAAATAATATTTCAAAATGGTCGTGTTTCATTTTCTGATAAATGTCAAATATCGCTGTAGCAACTTTTTTTTCATTCATCGCATTTTGTTTATCAATATTATACTAATATTTTTATGAACAAAGCGGTTTTTAATTTAAGATAATAAGTTGAAAATTTGTAAAACGTGACAGGATATATTATGTATGAGTAACAAATCATCGACCATATGATGACCGTTATTATCCTTCGTCCGTCAAGGTCACTAGTCTACATACCTGGTATAAAGGAGTGACAAGTGATCATGTTGAAATAGCAGTGACAGAGTGTCCCAATAATTGTTTATTTGCATTGTACATCTGTATATTCACAATATTAACATCAAATGGGTAATTGGAAGTCACATAACCATGTTACAGGACACCATCCCCGCGCGGCTATGTTCTGGTTCAAGATTGGTACTAGGATCAAATTACAGCTGTCTGTTATCGTGACCACAACATTGTTACGTCACGTGTTTCTACGACAAGCATACACATACCTTCAAAACTAGTAAACAACTTATTTATTCATCGAAGTTCCCATGCTAGTAACAATAGTTTCTGATTCATGGTTCACCAGTAGTTCACAACAAGTGCGCCAGAAAGTCTCGAATGTTGGACCAGAAAGACGCTTACGGTCAGTGCCCGATCTCGACGACAGGGTGAAAGAATGTCTGGATACTGACGGTCATACTGCTTACAGTCAGTTAAAATGATGCCACCTCGCGATAAAAACACTTTCGCCTATTGGTTGGAAGTATTTTATTGGAGATCAAAGATCAATCGTGGCCATCAACTAAAAAACATAAGAATTCCCACAAAACACAAATATATTTACAGAGTAAGGAGATTGTTGGACAATGAATCACGAAAGTGAAATATACACATACAAATACAGTTTATTCACAATCGCATATTACAAAAAATAACAAACAACCGGCCCTGGTAGGTTTAATTGCTTTCACGCAACTTCACTATATGGTACAGAATAGGAACATTCGAAGTATTTGAGGACCAGTGGAGCCGTGTATTGATCGAACGTTGTCACTTGTACGAATAGAGAATGCCTGTAAATATAATGGGGCTAGCCCAAATTCAGTTAGATTTTGTTACACCGATCATGTGATTGTTTTAGAAAGTCAAATTTATGAATATATCAACATTATAGCAGCCCGGGCGTGTGTGTCCTCCCGCTTGAAGAACACATAACATCGGCTAAATGATCTACTCCCGGGCGCAAAAGTCAATATTCGTTCAGTAATAAATATTACCGACGCCGTGTGCATAGACAATAGGCTCCTGTACACGGGTTCACTTGCACAGAACCGATTGGGTGTTATTTTTGGTTACAAGCGACTGCACTTCACTCACGTTGTTTGTTTATAACACTGCAATGGGCGTCACTGTGAAAGCCATGTCTCAGATACCGGACGATATCATTAACAAATAGTGAAATAGTGTACCCTAATTATAGTTATAATGTAAGAGTATTACACGTATTCTGCACAGATGTGGAGCCCTGACCACCCACCTCCCCTAATCACTACTACTCTAAATCTGTTTGTACCAGTACTAAATTACCTGTTCTGAGATTGCTCGAAATAGAGGCGTTTAATTGTAGAGGCGTTTAATTACCCAAACGGACATTTATTCTGCGGAATATTGACGGCTCAAACTCCCCGTGACATGAACTGACAATTCACGGTGTTTGTAGCATTTATCTTTGTTGATAAGAGCTTTTCAATTGCTCATGAGATCTCTTTATAGCTATAAACATTTATGAGGCTATGTTTTCTTTTATTTTTTCAAGTTTCGGTTATTTTATTATTAATTTTTTAGCACAGTTTGTTTTTAACGATTTAGAAGTTCCTGTTTGTTGAGCTCTACGCAACCTATATTGTGTACGTTTCAAATATAATATCCTATCATATCCTAAATCAACTAAATCAAACAAGTCTAACAGCGTATCTAGTAAAAGTCAAAAGATAATCTCTGTTTGATCTGAAATGAGGTAGGTGGTACCACCAAGTAATTCAAGTATGATTGATCGTGTAAACATACTCGGTAGCGGTGTAACAAGAAGGTCGACTTCTCCATGTCACCGACTGTCACTGTGTGGTGCGAACAAGTTGACGCCCGGAAAGAGCCTGATCGAATACTTAAGTCAACGCGTTGATGGATCAGGCGGGTGGAAATACCCTTTTTTCTGAATTCCTAGTGATGGTTTGTCGAGCTTCTACATTTTTGTTGTACCCGTAATTCCCACCGGGGTATACGATTTGTTGTATATAGTTGGCAAATCGTTGAGTGGGTGCCGATTTTCAATTATTAACACCGGAATGTAAAGTCACGTGACTACCAGGACGATATTTTATATTTCACGTCGTTAGGGCGTCATCATTTAATTTCATTTAATTTAATGATCGTTTTGGCGTAATACTTTGTGGTTTAGAATAAATGTCAAACATTGCTGTAGCAATTCATTCTGGTTCTTATTTTCTGACTAATCGTATTTTACTAATATTCTTATGAACAAAGCGGTTTTTAATTTAAGATAATAAGTTAAAAGTTTGTAAAACGTGACAGGATATATTACGTATGAGTAACAAATCATCGACCATATTAATCTGATGACCTTTTTTATCCTTCGTCTGTCAAGGTCACTAGTTTACATACCTGATATCATGGAAATCGTGGTGACAGAGCGTCCAAATAATAGTTTATTTCAACTGTACACCTGTATATCCACAATACCAAATGGGGTAGTTGGGGTCAACTGACCATGTTACAGAACACCCCTCCGCGTTTGGCAGTCCCCTGCTTATGTATCAGTACATTAATAAACCACATCACAGCTACAGGTTGACTATGACATCAACATTGTTACGTCACGTCTTTCTATTACAAGCATTCAACTATAAAACAAAACAAAAATATTTTCAACTTGTAAGTCTGATTTACATGCATTATCCTACTTGACCAATTCACAAATAACAAAAAAATTAACAATAATTTGCATAGTTTTCTGACATCGCCTCTCACAGAGTTGCTAATGCCCAAATATTTCTAAGTAGTCGCACATCGGTGAAACGAATGAGCCACAATTTTTGATGAAATTAACTCATGCGACGTACATGAAAGTATTATAATAAGTATATAAATATATTCCGGGAGAAATTTTGATATCAAAAATCGAAATAATGCATAAGCCATTATCTATGGTCTTCGATGTGTGTAATTATGATATTACAGTACAGAGGCGGCGGTACGACATTTTGCATGGAGGGGTGAGATCTGCTCATCATCCCTCGCGCCAAAGGCGCGACCTAATTAGGGGGTCCAGGGGCATGCTCCCCTTCAATAATTTTGAAATCTAAATTCTCTGAAACGCTACTTCCTGCATTTTGAGGGGCAAATTTTGCTGACAAAAGGTTTCATGTTGATTTTAGAGGGGCGACGCCCCCTAAAATGTTTTCGAGGGGGCCGCCGCCACTGCATTAGTATAATGAGTTCCGAAGTGAGCTAATTGTGTTGTTTCCACGGGCCCTCTTAGGTTAAAAAAATATCCGCTACAAACCACAGACCTAATGTAATGTAAAATGCTTTAATATATCGATACTAGACATATGTTGTATCCTAGGGCCCTGGTATGATTTCAAATATCTAAAAATCTAAATCATGATTATTGTCAACATGCAATATCATCGAAACAAATATTCAAAATGATTTATTTAAATAAACGAATGTAACTCGAATACATTTCAAAATAGTTTTCTAATTCCACAAAATAATATTCATGTTACAAATTACCTTTATTATAATAAACATCCCATATCTGTACGAACAACTGTAGATATATCTCTCAGATTATCCAGATATTTATTCCTCAAATTTCCCATGCATGTAAACAGCTGAGTAGTCTCTGAATCATGTTTATCAATAGTTCCCAAAAGTTGAACCTGAAAGACTCGAATGTTGCGCCAGAAAGACGCGCACCGACAGTGCCCGATGCGAAGGCGGATGAAAGAAGACTAGTTACGGTAATACTGCTTACAGTCAGTCAAAATGCAACCGGCGATAAAAACACTTTCGCCTATTGGTTGGAAGTATTTTATTGGAGGTCAAAGATCAATCGTGGCCATCAACTGGAGAATTCACACAAAAACACACGCATAATTGAGGAGGGGAGGGAATAAGGGTGTATAATGAATCGAAAGATTGAAATATTTACATGCAAATACAGGTCATCGACATTCGCATGTTACACAAAAATAACACCGGCCGAGTACATGTTATTGCATACCTGTAAACTTTCACTCAAATATAATACATTATTTGGAATATGAACATTCTGAGTATAGTATAATTATTGATTGGTCTGGAGAGTAAAATTCATGTATATCATCTGGGAGGCATGTAATAGCAAATAGTAAAACCTTAACGTCGGCAAATGTATAATTTCCCGTTCCCGTGCGCAAATGCCCATAGTCGGCCAGCCTTATATAATACCGACTCCGCGTGCATTGGAAATAGTCCTACCATTGTACGCTGGGTCGGTATTGTGAGCAATATTATTCGGTACAAACGGCTGTGGTTCACATTAGTCATAAAACTACAGTTGATCTGCGAGTGTGACTATGAATGGCTCGCAGGACAACGTTGTACCCGAATTATGTAACTATGTAGGTAATTATGTCATAATTTAACAAAGTCATACCTGTGTTAGCGATCACTACTATCGTTAATGTTACTAATGTTATTTGAAATGTACAATTTTGTGATCCATAAACAAATCCAACCTTCATATGAAGACCACGTGTCTATAACCATTTTAATGAAGTTATTTAGATGGTCGCTATACACAGGTTCGACTGTGCTTGTATTCAACACAGATGTGAAAATAGCCTATCCGGTGCTTGGGTGTTTTTTTCTTTCAAAATGTATAACGACGGACTATTCAGAACCTGTTCGTACCGGTCACTAAAATACCTGTTTGTCATCGCTGGAATTGCCCAAAATACGATTACCCCAGCCGACATTTATTGAGAGTGTCTACAGAATCTTGACGGAAACTAACAAATGACCGTATTTGTGGCATTTTTTATTGTTGATATAAGCTTTTCACTTTTCATGAGACCACTTGACAGCTATAAATCAAGTAAATCAAACACACCGAACAATGTAACTAATAAAAGTCAAAAGATAATCTATGTTTGTTTGATCTGAAATGAGGTAGATGGTTTGATTGATCGGGTAAACATTCTTGGTAGTGTTATAACAAGGTCGCTTTCTCCAAGTCACCGACTGACACAAGGCGGTGCGAACAAGAAGTATGCCCGGAAGGAATTTGATCGATTTCACACTGATTGATGCAATGTTACGTGGCTTACCATCGAGACACGGATGACAAATAAATCAACACCAGTTTACTCAGCTGCATATAAATTTAAAGAAATAACAGAGTGACTTACATGTCGTCGTGAATTTTTCAAAAGTAACGAAAAATTTTAAATTAAGTATTTTAAACTGTGAGCGAAATCGAACTGTTGGCTTATGTTGCTTATTCAAAAGTGGCGATTCTCGGGAACTCGTTGTAAAATTGAATACTTGAGTATTTTTTGTTTGTTTATAAGTGGACGGTGATATAATTTATCGTCAACGAAAAATGTTATTTTGACAACTCAAATATAATTGCACACCTGTGATGGAATAGCGAACCTAATAATATAAAGATGATGTCGCTAGTTTACCGCATGTGCATTTACGCCGTCCTGTTGCTTATCATATTTTGTTCCTGACAATAACAACGTTTTTAGCTCCAGTGCAAACAAAAATAAGTGATACTATAACATTGCCTTTTTGGACAATTATATTTATTTATATACTTATATTTTTATATTTATTTTACAATAGATAACTACTTTAGTACAGCATTATGAAAAAATAAGGACATTTGAACATTTATAATTTCATATCAGTAACGTTTTAAATGCATTTTACATTTATTGATTTCTGATTGGTCCAATAGAGACAAATGTGGCTGCATTAAACTTATATTGATTTCTGATTGGTCCAATAATGAAAAATATGGTTTCATTATACTTGTATTGATTTCTGATTGGTCAAATAATGGAAAATATGATTTTATTAAAGTTGTATTGATTTCTGATTGGTCCAATAATGACAAATATAGTCTTATTAAACTTGCTTTGATTTCTGATTGGTCCAATAATGGGAAATATGGTTTCATTAAAGTTGTATTGATTTCTGATTGGTCCAATAATGACAAATATAGTCTTATTAAAGTTGCTTTGATTTCTGACTGGTCCAATAATGACAAATATAGTCTTATTAAAGTTGCTTTGATTTCTGATTGGTCCAATAATGACAAATATAGTCTTATTAAAGTTGCTTTGATTTCTGATTGGTCCAATAATGACAAATATAGTCTTATTAAAGTTGCTTTGATTTCTGATTGGTCCAATAATGACAAATATTTTTGATTGGTCAAATAAAGACAAATATGGCTACATTAAAGTTGGCAATTGTAGCACTGTGTAATTATTCAAAATGACAAGATGTTTTGCATCGTGTTAGCAATGATTTTCAATTAACTAACTTTCATTGATCTTTGCGTGAAGCACGTTTGATACTGTGAATATAATTACAATAATGTGACGTCAGTATTAACAGATGCATTCTTTGTTTGCTCTTCGAAATCCTCGAATGCAAAATTAGTGTACTCGAATTCTGTATTCGTTCCCACTTCGTTCACTTTTTTCACTATGCTTCTATGTGATATTTCAGGCGCATACGCGATTCCATTGATAGCGCTTTCTTTCATTTTGAGAGCATCTTTGTCTTCAATAGCACCACTACTGCCCCCAAGGTATTCTTTACCGTTTTCATTCTCATCTTTATCGTCTTCTTTGTCGCCATAATTGCAACATCCACAGTAACCACGTGCAAGGAAGAAGCGAAAGACCCCAATGACGACCAACATTTCAATTGCCAATATCGGACCGTAGAGGGATGAGATGATCTGCATCTCGGCACGAAGAGGCCCTGCTGGGAACGCAGAGTTGATGATAGTGAGGGCTAGAGCAACGTTCTGACAGCTGGTTTCTACGGCGATTGTGCGTCTACTGGAACACGGAAGACGAATGATGCTTGAGCACGTGAAACCGATGGCTCCAGCTAATACAGGAAGACTTATGGTGATGAGCCACACTTCTATTGCCGATGACGTGTACACCCCTGGATTGACGATGGCACGTAATACAATACCGACCAGTATACCGAGTGTGCCAATTAATGAACACACCTGTGAATAAAACAAGATCATAAATTATGACTAATTTGTCGGCTCACGTGACCTGTCACAAGTGTCCAGATTCAATATATTATTTGCATATTATATTACTAAAAACAAAGCGGTCGAGATTTGCCTTACCTGTGTTACTTTATTGATATATTTGGGAATTACTTTGTATTTGAGAACAAGTCCAATGCCGGCGGGTACTAGTATGAGAACCAACGATATAATAACTGTGACGTAAGGGATGACAATAGTGCCCTCACTGGCACCCGTGACAAAGCTGCGTCCATATAAAAACAAACAAAGTGGCATGGCCCCAACAGCTAATATGGTAGAACAGGTTGTCAGACAGATACTGCCAAGAAAGAGAATTAATAATCAAATAAGTACAATTTAAAGCCAACTAATTGTGTTGATACTGGTTGTTAAGTAGATACTGCACAATGTATATGATATTAATTGTAACGACAGTAATATATTGAAATTTGTTTTCATAATTTACAAAAAAAAATCAAGATGGCTTTAGTAACAGTTTTATGTTTATGGAGAATGTTTTAAAATGTATTTATCCAGAGACTGCCCAGCCAACAACGACGACGACGACGGTGACAATGATGATGGTGATGATGATGATGAATAGATTACCTGAGTGATATATTTCCTTTTGCATAGTAAGCCAATACATTGGACATGCTTCCTCCAGGTGAGCTGCACTGGATAATCAAACCGATGGCCAACTCAGGCCTTAAATCAGCTGCATGTGCAATGCCGAACGCTACCAAGGGCATCAATCCGAACTGCGATAACCAACAAATTATGATCCCCCATGGACGCCTCAGAGTTCGCCTAAGTTCACCAAGTTCTGTCGCTCCACCCATTCCCAACATTATTAATATGATGGTCAAATACGTGAGAATCTGATCAGTAAGGAAAATTATCTCTTCTAATTCAGTAAGCTCCTTATCAGTGTCGTTGGTAATCGTGCTGTTGTACATAAGTTCAGTTGTAAATTCCATTTTGTCTACAAATATAACGAAATAAAACATAGATTATAGAATATATTTAATACTAGAATCGTATTATGACTATAAGATGAAATATTGGGTTATACAATCAACTAAGAAAGGCCCTGGGTATTTCTTTACGATGAAAATTCAACATACCACAGAACCTCGAACAAAAAGATATATTTTCGTTCGTGTTTGACCACCATCTTCTAAACGTGCTTTTAAAGTCTGAATTAAAACCGCATAAAATTCTATTTGCGTAGTCTGTCTGTTATCCCAAATACGAGAACAGTCGATCGCATTTGATAATCTACATGTACATATGAATTGAAAACGGTCAAATAATTATTACAGTTATTATACTTTGCAAACACTATATTGAAATATCTGTGTCCTCTTGCTGTCAGGGGTAACACGCTATAAAAATAGTTGGTTACGGCGACAGTGAGGTTGGCTCTAAAGTTGTTACGTATACTACAGTGGGGTGGATCGTCATCATGGAAACGGAGTGCGCTCTGAAATTATGTGTCTCGTTAGTTGTATTCCCAGTGTCATATGTAGAACACCTCCCACTGATTATTGTGATCACCGTAAAATAATTAAATCAGTTGTCTTAGCAACAAATCCCGAACTATTGGAGCACTGGAGCTCGCTTACACTGAAGGTTGTACAGTGAGGGGGTCACTTCCTTCAGACCGTACAAAGTGAGAACGCAAAATTGTGTACCAAATGACTAATTTGTAATTGAATAACATGGTATATAACGCACCAATGACGGTGAGGACTTTATTCAGAGTGATTAACTTGAGTGTGGAATGGACTCTTACACTATAGAATGAACTTACTGCAATACACGTTCATAAAACATGTGCCAGTGGAACATGACCCTCCATAGAAGGGTTACAATTATATTGATCGATAAACACCAATGACACAATGTCCGTCACTGCTCATGTACTATTCGGAAATAAGTATCAGTGTAAAATAATGTTTAATTATATTTACATAAGAACTTACAAGTTGCAATTCTGGCATAGTTATCGCTAAAAATACACAGTCTGCAAAGCCGCAATATCTGAAATTACAATTTTCTCTTTGTATTGTGTTTAACTCATTTACCAAAGAAAACATTCTAAAAACTAAAAATTACACATGCTAATTAAAAAAAATAAAAATTTACAATAATTTTTCGGATGAGGTGCATGGAAATTATTCGTTCAAATTAATCTTATCCAACAAAACATTCTGTTATTAAAAAGTGTATGTTGAGTTTGAAGGAAACTGATTATTTTCATATATGGTAACATACCAGAAACGTCGCGTTTAGACATTTTTTTAAATTTAAATATTATTATTTGCAATAAATTTCACTTACCCCAACAGGCATGAGCGATAGAATTAACTGGAGTACTAGACTAATTGTAGACTGCTCCACAGGGCACATTTGACGTGATTCCGATCGTAAGGCATGTGTAGGTGCATGCAATTAACAGATTCGTGAATAATCACCACAACAATCTACAATATCAGACTCACTTACTTTGGGATATTCCATTATTGTGGAGGTGGTATCAAAGCTTGAGACCATGAGCCTTAAAACGTCCCATGACAACATGTATATATTGCGTCAATACTTTATCACTAATCGTTAAATTAAACAACAATAGAAGACAGCAGCAACCTAAATACACTAGAATTATATTTTGCAGCAAGAGGCGGACCCTCTATCACTATTTTGAAAACAACGTTTTGAAAGGAATGGCGTGCTTATATTTCAAATTGTGTTATTTAATATGATCGCAAAATAACCAAATATTAGATATATGAATCAAATATTATTGAAAAGCAAACAACTTTAATATCGAAATGGCGGACTGATATATATAGAGTGAGCAGTCAGCTTGGTCATCTTTTCTAATGTTCTTGGAGCCACTGTGGTTGAATCGTCTATTTAATTTCAGGCCTTTCAATTGTGATGATATTGTTCACTATTTGAATTTAAAAACAAGACAACTCACTCTTTTTATTTTAATCAAATTGAGGCCATTAGCGTTACGCGTACTAAACAGCCGGCCTGCGTTTCAAGTCTTGGCAGTGTGGTATATGGGGCGTCTGATTGTAGTGTGAAACGTGCAGAATTATATGTACATAATAATAACAATTCGAACTGGCATTCACAGGCGGCAATCAGTTTGAACTTTTGCTTTATATGACTTTCCCATTGTATCTTCCGCTGACGCATTACATCACTAACCCATATAAGTCTACTCGACATCTTTTTAAAAACTATCAACTTTCATAAGTACTCTCAAACTTTCACAAGTACTCTCCAGTCTCGGTGTCTCCGTACAGTTATAAATGCATCATGAATTAAACTCGTTAAAAAATCGCCGACATTCTTTTAACACCGAGCAAGGAGTTTCACAGGTTCGTCTTACTCGTAATGTTTGTTTCTCTTTTATCGGGTTGAAGTATAGATAAGTTAGATCTATTGTTCCGAGCGGGGGGGCAAGGGTTATTTTCGTTCAACGTAATTGCAATATTTTTTTGTTCGTACAACGTAAATACAAAAAATAAATTCCGTAATTCTGTAATCACAGGCTAGACGTACAACGTAATCAATCAAATATTTTTTTCGTACACTGTAAAAATGTGTCATTTTTCTCATACGTACAAAAATTCAAATCCAAATAAAAAAAATCGTAAAGAATAATCCAGGGAAATTACATTTTAGAAACTGTAAAACGACTAGAAGACACAATTCACTACAAAATTGAATGTCAAGACGTAAAAGGCCCTCTAACCGAATGAAGAGCATTACGAGGGTAATATGCGCATGCGTCTCTTCACACGGCGCAGCAATGGTGGAGAATTTGAGTCGGAGAGCTCTTCGGACCATTCAATGTTACATTTGTTAACACTGTAAACTGTAAAAACGTCTTTTTTTTCTTCGTAAATTGTGAAAAGCCCTTTTTATTTCCCGTAAAACCGTACCAGCTACCCCCCTTGCCTCCCCTCATTCCGAGACTCCGAAATTGTCCTCGATTTTCTCCGAATCATCCATGGCGTGACACACTAGCGGTATATATGTATCAGCTATGCCAACTTTTGGGGTATGTTCTACCGATCCTATTCTATAACCAGACGAATGTGTGTGACTAAACGAACGCTAGTCCCTCAATACAGAGTGTGGCTAGGATTACCAATATGATTCCGATCCTAACCAGTGGTAAAGTGTATCGACTAAACAAACGCCGGGGTAAGGTCATTCTGGTACTACTAGTATGTCCTAACTAGAGGTAAAAGTGTGTCGACTAAACCAACGCCGGGGTAACGTCACATCGATACTATGTCCGACCTGAGGTAAAATGTATCGACTAAACCAACGCCGGGGTAACGTCACTTTGATACTATGTCCGACCTGAGGTAAAATGTATCGACTAAACCAACGCTGGGGTAAAGTCACTCTGATACTATGTCCTACCTAGAGGTACGGTTTATCGACTAAATCAACGAGGTGGCTGCGTCTGGACTTTGTTTCCTTGACAAAAAATTGTAACCACTCTTCCATGGTGAATTTTAAAGTTTATGCACCAAATTGGCAATATTGAAAGATATTACATAATTCAAGTCTGTCTGTCTGAATCCACTGTTATGTGTAGTCGGTTTATGATCTAGGCAGAACGGGTGAATGGACTCCCCTAACTACAGATACACTGTAGCGAGTTGACCAACGTTAAATCCCATTCTAACCACATTGCATTTACTTTAGAGAGTTTACCCACACTTTCATTCAGCTAATTCAATCCAGTAGCCGTCATACAATATGTACATTCATGTCAACATGACATTATGATGTATCTCAATGCGTTTATCGGAGACAGAACCAATTAATTATACATCTCGAAGATGAAGGGTTGATTTTGCTGTTATTATTGAATGACACTAAAATTTGAATATCAAGACTGTCAGTCATATCAATAGCGAGACTCAAATCCTGCACTTGGAGGAATATTTCTTCAGTATTATATGTATATTTTTCATTGTACGTTTTATAAAATTATTTATATGTGTATTGGCTTTTTCTAGTGATATTTTTTTGCTGTAAACTATAAAGTGAACATTCCTCGAACATACTTCTATATCATCATGCAAGCAGTTACCATGAAAATATCAATGATAAAGTAATAATTGTGAATATTTTTGATAACGAGTTGCGGAGGTTGCTTGTAGCTCGGCCGTCTAAACAAGAACACTCGGTCAAGGGCGCTGTCCCTTCTTAGCTTTAACTGACCGGGCCTAACTTTAGACCACGTTCATGGAATGGGGTGGACCACAGCCAGTTGAAAACTGAACCCCAAAAGGTCACCCTTTTGGCTCAAAATTTTGCGTTTTCCGCCATATTTTGCCCAAATAGCCGAAATCTAAAAAAAAATGGGTGTCAAAAATACGGCGCACTATATTCGTATACTTGAGCTATTCGATTACCCACCCTCGGGTTAGGCCACAACCTTATAAACACAAGAGCTAATCTCTCGTTAATTGGTGGGAGGATTAAATACTAGTTCGGCTCCGATAAAATGCTGCCTTTTAACCTATATTCACGGCGAGTTTACAGTCACGTCAGTCATAAACCATAGGTTATATGCTTTAGCTAAATATTAAGATTTTGATAACTCGTGCATGGAGTCAAATTCGCTAAAATGTTATGTAGGTTTTGTCAGTATTTGGGAAGGTTCACAACATGCAACTATGTACTTAGTATTTTAATGAGCGTGCCGTATACTTATATTCCATACAAGGTGTAACAGGAATGTGGACTAACAAATAATTACACTTAAAAAAATCTTTCTTCCTAATGAGCAAACGATAATGCCATAAATCGTTTGTTATTTTAGTAGCACGGGCAAAGAGGTCAAAAACGTTAGCTCGTGTTATGAAAACGTGCGCGAATGCTTTGCACGGGCTGGAAAAGTACACGGACTAAGTACTGGTTAAATCTGACCCGT